TTACGTGGCATTACTGAAATTAACTTTTGCATGATATTCTAATTTTTTTCGAGTATCGCCTGTATAATAGAAGCCCCAACAGTTTCTGACTGGTGATGGTAAACTCAAGGCCAGAGAGACCTGAATTTCTCAACATCCCTGATGGAACACGAATGTGTCATCTTAACTGAAAATCACCTGCATTCACACACGTACAGAGTGCAGACCTCAGGTGAGTACGTCTGGATAGAACCTAAAATCGAAATGGATTTTATTCTGATGTAATCCTAAAATATCAAATAGAGATTACTTTATTATATGTATACACTTTTTATTTTTTAAAGTTTGTTGAATTTTGTAATGTGACAGAAGCCCCTGTTACTGGGGCATGTGGAGAGGCTTGGAGACCAGCCTTCTTACTTCAGACTATGGACCCTGTAACTGGGTCCCCGGTTTTTCCCATGTTAAAATTAATAAATGCTTTTAAGTGTAGAGCACCGTTTCCAGAGACCCTATGCCACATAAAACCGGTAAAATGCCCATGATTCCTGGCACACAGCTGCAGTATCTTCCCTGGTTGTGCTAGGGATACGTATGCCCCCCTGGAACTCGCACATAGATTGGAAATCTGTTTTATCCATCTAACCTTTACATGGGTGCCGATCATAAACCACCCATCCTGACAGGATGCCTTTAGGACTGAATATAACTGACAAGGACAAGCTGTCCAGGGTTAAAATGATTGTGGGAGGACCTGCTTTGGGTGGGGGTTTTGGGGTCTCAGTTCCCTAGCCTGTCTGCACAGGACTCAGCGCACGATGAACTCTTTATCAGCCCCAACTTGTTGGCGCCAGGAGGGAACAGTCTTTTGTTATGTGGATCAGCCTTTAGAGGGTGAAGACACATTGAACCCGGTATAATTATGTGTTCTGTTAATAAATCAGTGATTATATCTTTTGATGCTGTCACTCAAACATTGGATTTGGTATAGAGGTGCTAAAACCTGGGGTAATCCCTCAAATTTAATACCCCTAACTTATTAATATATTAGCTGATCGTATAACACTCATTCATAATAAATAATAATAAATTGGTATGTACATACTAGTTTTGCATGTACTATTTTATTTTTATTGTAATTGAGTGTCAATTTGTATATTAATAAATAAATAAGTGCTTATTTTTTTTATAAATCTGTTTTTATTGATAAGTGGTTCAAATAAGCAGTACATGCTTCAAAAAGCTTTACAAGTTAAGACACGCAGGTCTCCAACATAGCATCAATTTGAGGATGTTAATCACATTATGTCGGGGTTCTCGTCCGTATTTCCCCATGAGTTTCATTACTTTTTATTTATTTTATTTTTTGTAAGTCTTTTTCGTTATGTGACAGAGTGAAATAACAGTCGTAATGATGCATAATATTTGACATCGTGCAGTACGCCAAAATATGCAGGTCGGGAGGAGAGGTCCTGTACTGTTTTTGTAACGTAAAGGTTTCGTTTCCCTCATTCCTCTCACTCTGTAGTTCCATCTCCCCACCTCCTTCCATTTGACTTTATTACTTCGCCTCGTTATGTCAGGTGATAGAATATGTGGGTGTCTCTAGGTGTGAGTTAGTGAGATGTGTAAGGTAGGGAGATATAACGGTGAGACTCCCGGGTCTTTGCGTTCCAGATGTGTATGCGGGTCTTTAGCGTGCCATGAGGGTAAGTTTAGTGGGTTGTATAATACGTGTCCCCATTTCTAGTGTGTTATCTTATATGGCTAGGGGTGTTGTCATTACTACTTGTAGCAGAGTCTATAGTTCGTGAAATTTCCCATGCGTGATGTCTTGGTGTCGTTAGTGGTGTGTGTGTCGTAGACCTAGTAATGTGTGATTGTAGTGGAGTTAAGATGTTGCGTGTCTGCTATATGAGCGTAAGCTCTACTTTAAACATTTTGATACCGGAACATTTAGCAAGGCATGGTTTGACTCGCGTTTCCCTAGGGAGTCTGAGCACTCCTCAGATCCCGTCAGGAATGGGTGTTCCTCTCCTTAGAGTTTCAGAGGTCGATAGATTTTCCTTTTTCTCTTACCCTTCCCTTTTTTGCCCTCTTTGTTTTTATCGTAATGTATCTCTCCGATCCCGATCCCGATTCCCCGGTCCCGGGGCCCGTCCAGCGAAACGGAAGAAAGAAAGAGAGGTAAGAAGAGAGAGGAAGAAAAGAAGAAGAAGAGGAAAGTAAGAGAGAGAGGGAGAAAGAAAAAAAAAAAGAAAAAAAAAGAAAAAAAGGAGGGGGGGAGGGAGATATGGCTAAGGGGGGGGTGGACTGTGTCTTGTGGGATCCGCATCTGATGTTGCCCCGTCAGTGGGTTCGGGGGCGTTACCTGCCTGTCTGTAGCGGGTAATATATAGGAACCATGGGAGCCACAGTTCTGTGTGTTTTATTGCTCGGCCCGTCAGAGAAGCGTGTATTTCTTCCGCTCCATGAATGTCTTCTACTCTGCGGATCCATTCTTCTTTAGTTGGTACATCACTTGTCTTCCAGTGTGCCGGTATGTTAGCTTTGGCCGCGTTTAGTAAGTGACGTAGTATAGATCTTTTATACGTCCGGATCGATTGTGTCGTTATGTGTAATAGGGCTAATTCTGCGTTCCATTCCGGGACATCGCCCAGAACGTCAGTCACAGTGTCCTTAATCATTGCCCAGTATGGGGTAATGTTCCTGCATTCCCACCATATATGTATTAAAGTGCCACCTTCTGTCTGGCATCTCCAGCACGTCGGGGAGGTTGACGGGAAGATCTGGTGTAGGAGGGATGGTGTTCTATACCAGAGGGATAGCAGTTTGTAATTCACCTCTTGGTAATAGGAGCTCATAGAGCTTTTTTGTTGCCATAACAATGCCAAATCCCATTGTGAAGGTGTGAGCGTCTTTCGAAGTTGTCCTTCCCATTGGCGACGGAAGGTAGAAGCCTGGGTCGTGTCTCCGATAAGTAGGTGTTGGTAGAGGGCTGATATAGCATGGTCAAGTGTGCTGCCATTGTCACAGAGGCCCTCGAACCAGGTGAGGTCTCTGTGTAAGCGTTCTTTGTGTGGCATTGTATCATGGTAGTGTTTCAACTGTAGGTATCTGAGTACCGTGAGGGGGGTCCTTGGACCATCCCCTAGTAATGCAGTTAGATCCCGGATTCTGCCACCTTCGAGGGCTTTATATATGGGGATATAGTTCCTCTCGCTTGGGATGGGCCATGCGCCGGGCGGGAGTCCACCTCCCAAGGCCGCGTTATGGGTGAGTGGAATCATCGGGCTAGGGGTGGGCGATATATAGCTCTGGTCTCTTAGCGATCTCCAACCGGCGATTGTTTGCGTTATCAGCCCCTCATTGTTGTGGGCCATCGGGTCTCTCGTCGTTCCCCATATCCTCATTTCCAGTGTTGGTCCGATAAGGCCTTTATCGAGTTCTACCCATTGTTTCGTTGTAGGTTCCTGGTGCCAATCCAGTATCCGTTGCATTACTGTAGCTTGGTGATATTTTTTGACATCTGGTAAGGCTAGTCCACCATGGTTCCTTGGGCGGCAGAGTATGTCATGTCGAATTCGAGAGCGTTCCCCTCGCCATACAAATTTTATTATCGCTGTTTTCAGGGTGGAGAAGAAGGTCCTTGGGATGGTTAGTGGAATCGTTTGCATAAGGTATAGAATTCTCGGCAATATGTTCATCTTGAGGATCGCGACTCGTCCATGCCAGGTTACATGTGGGTACGACCATCTAGCTAAGTCCGCTAGAATTGTTTTCAGAAGGGGGACAAAATTGAGACGGTATATGTCTTCTGGGTCTGTGGTCACCCAAATGCCCAGATACTTCATCCGGCCGTAACACCAGTGAAAAGCGAATAGCGAGTCCAGGGATATGTATTCTTCCGTGGGGATCGTAATGTTCAGGACCTCGCACTTTGAGAGATTGAATTTGAAGCCCGAGATTTTCCCGAAATTGTCGAATTCGGAAAGGAGGCATGGTAGAGTCGTCCTAGGGTGTTGTATAAAGAATAGGAGGTCATCCGCGTACGCAGCCACTTTATGGTGTGTTCCACGCCAGTCGTATCCTTGAATGTTTGGGTTCAGTCGTATCTTCTGGAGCAGTGGTTCTAAGGTCATAGCGAACAAAAGTGGGGACAGTGGGCAACCTTGACGGGTACTATTGTTTATTGTAAAGTCCGCTGTCGTGGCTCCGTTTACTCTCACATTTGCGTGCGGTTTGCTATAGAAAGCTGATACCCATGCGAGTAGTCTCTGTCCGCATCTCATATGTTGTAAGGTGGCCATCATGTACGACCAGTCGACTCTATCAAACGCTTTCTCCGCGTCCGTGGATAGTAATAGCATTTTAGTTTTTGTCTTTCTTGCGTGTTGTTGGATTGAGAACAGTCGCAGGGTGCTATCTCTGGCCTCTCTGCCCGGGATGAAGCTTGTCTGGTCTGCGTGTATCAATTCTGGAAGAAAGTTGTTGAGCCTGCTAGCTATGACTTTCGTGGTTAGTTTGGCGTCTACATTGAGCAGCGAAATGGGACGGTAGCTGCCGCAAAGCAATGGGTCCTTTCCTGGCTTGAGCAAGACCGTGATGGTCGCGGCTAAGGATTCCGCGCCCAGGTGCCCTCCGTCACCTACCGCGTTGATCGCTTTAGTTAGCCATGGTATCAGGAGATCTGGGAAGGTCTTATAGTATCCGGTTGAAAAACCATCTGGTCCAGGTGCCCTGCCTGATTTGGACGTTTTCAGCGCAGCCGCAAGCTCTTCCGTGCTGATTGGCATGTCGAGTGCCGAAGCTGATTCCTGGTTAATCGTTTTGACGATCGTGTCAGAAAGGTAATCTTGTATCTGAGTAGCTCTTCTATCGTCGCTCGTCGTCCCCATGGGTGGGCTCAGGTTGTAAAGGGTTTCATAGTAGGTCCTAAACTCATCGGCGATTTTTTTGTGGGTAGGGGGTCATTTCTCCTGAGGAGAGGCGAAGTTTGCGTATTTGTCTACGAGGCGTTGGGCCTTTTAATAATCTGGCCAGGTATTTCCCCCCTTTATTGGCGTGCGCATAGTAGAAACCCTTCGTGCGTTGGAGATTTCGAAGATGTTTTTTTGTGATGAGTCTCTTGAGTGCCCTTCTATGTTCCATCAATTCCCCGTATGTTTCATGTAGTTGGGATCTTTTGTGTTGACTTTCCAGCTTTGAAATCTTTTGATATAGGTTAGTCATCTCGATCATATTCGCTTTCCGTTTTTGCGAGGCAATGCGGATGAGTGTTCCGCGAATGACGCTCTTATGCGCTTCCCATATGGTTATCGGGGAAACCTCTGGTGTGTCGTTGTCTCTGAAGTATTGTTCTAGCTCTTTGGTTATTTGTTCTTTGGTGGCTGGATCGAGTAGGAGAGCTTCATTAAGTCTCCACGTCCACGTAGTTGGGCGAAACATGGGGGATTCCATCTCTAGCTTGACCGAGCCATGGTCCGACCATGTAGACGGGTCGATATCCGCTTTGAGTAAGCGAGCGAGTCCTTCTTGTGTTATGAAGAGGTAGTCTATGCGAGAGTATCGGTTGTGAAGAGCGGAGTAGTAAGTATAATCTTTTACCGTTGGGTTGAGTATTCTCCAGCCGTCTACCAGCCTCAGTTCCTCCAGTGATTTTCGGATCGATCGGATGTTGTTTTGTGAAATACTACTATGTCCCGATGAGGAGTCCAATATTGGGTCTAGAGGTACGTTAAAATCCCCTCCGACGATTAGTATGCCGTCAGTGAATTCTTCTAATATGTGCAGCGTATTTCGGAGGAAGGAAGCCTGTCTTCGGTTGGGGACGTAGATGTTTGCCAGGGTGTATATCTTGTCAGCTATGATTCCTTTCAGGAAGAGATACCGTCCGTGTGAGTCTTGTGATCTCTCTAATTCTTTGAATTCAAGCTCGGCTGCTAAGAGTATGGCTGTGCCCGCTTTATGTGACGTCGAGTGATTAGAGAAATAGTTGTTCGGGTAGTGTTTGTTTTGTAGCTTAGGTGCCGCGCCTTCCTTGAAGTGGGTTTCCTGGATCAGGGCCACCGCTATATGTTTTTGCTTCAGCTCCCTCAGTAGGTGAGTCCTACGCTCAGGGATATTGAGGCCTCTGCAGTTCTGGGTGAGGATCCTCAGGGGTGTATTTCGGTATGCCATTCTCGCGGTACAAGCGAAGTGTTCCCTTAAGTCCGATTCGTATAAGAAAGGAGAAAGGGAGGGGGGAAAGAAAAAGAAGAAGAGGAGGAGAGAGAAAAAAAAAAGGGGGGGTGAGGGGGGGGGAAGGGTGAAAAGGTAGTATTTTAGTTCCCCAAGACGGGAACCCAAGCCCGGGGAACCCTGGGCCGGGACCGAACGAGACCTATAGTAACGATAGAAAGAAGTGTGTCCGGAGTGTAGCTTTGGTCTGTGGGTCGGGTGAACCCGAATTCCAATCCCGTACGGGGAAATAGAGGTTGTAGGTCTCGTGCTGCAGACAGCACTAGAGGGGAGTCTCGCTTCGGTACCTGCCCAGAGGTCGAGAGCGCCTATAGCCTGTCTGCACTACTCTTAGCACGAGTAAGTATGTGGGGAAACGCAAGTCAGGCTCCGCCCAAGAAGGTAGTTAACTCAAGAGTGGGGTCGTCTACCCCACCGGACCCTCTTTTGGTAATGTCGTGTAAAGCTAATTCTCCTGTATTTGCGGGGCGTGTCTTGTGGGTTTAAGTTTGTATCACTATGGTCGAGACGGTGTCCCCAGAATTGTTGGTTTCAGTGTCCCTCCCCTCGCATTAATGTCCCTAGCCTTGTCTGCGTGCCCCCTGGGACGGTGTTCACCCTCCCGTGCCCGAGGTGGTCCTGATCCACTACTCCCGGGGGTATTGTGTTCTACTCTATAGTGTGGAGAAGTGGGGTGGGTGTGCGTGGTGGTTGTACCAGTGACAACGCTATTGTGAAAACATAGGCCAAGTATGCAGACTTAGTAGTCGTTGGTCTACTCTGTCCGTCTTCTCGGTAGTAGGAGACTGTCCACTCCCCTGGGTGTTCTCTGTCTGTGTCTCTCTATCTTAATATCTGATCATTGTAGGGGGGGTACGTAACGAGGAGAGTATCCATGTCTTAGGTACATAGTGTAAACAACATAACATAGTAGAACATAAAAAGGTTTCAACATTTCAACATTGCTTCATTAACATCACCCGATGTCCCCCAGAAGACCCCTTAACCGTCAGCAGTTGCCCAGCCTCAATGTGAGTCCCCATGTTCCCCATTTGGCTGCTGTCCTGTGTGGGGTGGAGGGAGGTCCCCCCCGAGTGTTGGGTTGTGGGATTTCCCGGGTCAGTGGCCCTCGTCACCCCGTGTTTCCCTCTATGTGTAGCCGTAAGGGCCTTTTTTGATCAGCGTGATAGTAGGTGGTACCAGTCATATGTCAGCAAGGCATGTGTGATGAGGTGAATCGTTTTGCACACCCTTCTCTTCTGTCAACCCCCTCCCCCTGGTCACATACATAGCTTAGGATTCAACATTGTGATGGGTGCTGGGAACGGTATTCAACGCGTTTCCTCATCCAAAGTCTACTTGCTCTGTATTATGCTGGTGAGTCTTGCGCCTTCGTTCAGCGGCATGAGTGTTGGGGATTCCGTGAGGAGGGTTAGTGCCCAATTCGTTCTGGTATGCGTCCCTGCCTGAACCCGAAGCACCCCCTTACCAAATATGTGTACCCAGGTCTCCGTGAAGAGGTGGCAGTCATTGCACTAAGGGGAAGGGGGTAAGCCTGAGAGGTGCACTTTGGTGGAAGCTTGATCACCCAGGGTGGACCCATGTTCCCTTGAACCCCCCCACCCAAAGCCCTTTGTGTATAGTCCCGGCATACCTGCAATTGTCCCAGTCTAAGTTAGTAGCTCTGCTCTGTTAATAGGGATCGAAGTGACTTTCTTCGGAAGGTGGCTTTTAGGTGCTTGTTAAGGGGCCACGTGACTCGGGATGTTAAGAGGTGTTTAACGGGTTAGACGGGTCTGCACTCACTCTTCCGGGGAAGTCGGGTTTCTGCGCCGTCTGGCCGGCTGAACAGAGGGGGACCGTGTTCCTCTCCGCCTGGGCCCTCTTTGCGGCCTCTGGGTTGGGGCCGATGTTCCCAGTATCCAGTTGTGGACTGTCGGTGCTGGAAGGCCTAGTTCTTCCATGAATCGCGGAACTTCCTCGGGCCAGCGTAATGAGATCCAGCCATTTTGATGCCTGGCCAGCAATGCGAAAGGGAACCCCCATTTATAGGTGATGTCTCGTTCCCGTAGTGCGGTCGTCACGGGGCGGAGGGCTCGCCGAGCCTCTAGTGTGATTGGGGATAGATCATTATATAATGCTACTTGGGAGCCTCTGTAGGGCCAGGTTGGTCTTTCTCGTGCTTTTCTCATAATTGTGTCTTTTACTGGGAAAGAGTGCAGGCAACATATTAGATCTCTCGGCCCATCCTCCAGGGTTCTGGGCCGCATGGTTCTGTGTGCCCTTTCAAATTCTATGTGCTGCGGTGAGGTTGGTTGCAGGATGGACTGAAAAAGTTCAGTAAGTATTTCCACCACATCTTCTGGTGGCCCTTCTGCCTCTGGGATGCCCCTAATGCGTATGTTGCACCTCCGACCCCTGTTATCCAGGTCCTCAAGGTGTCTTCTCATAGAGAGGAGCATTGTACCCTGGCGGGCTATTGCAGTGTCTGCAGTTGCTACACGAGTTGTAAGGGCCTCAGTGGCCTCTTCTTGTAGTGTGATGCGGCCAGCGTGTGCAGTTACCTCAGCTCTGATCCCAGCCATCTCTGCTCTGAGGGTGTCCTGTATGGTGGTGGTGAGTGTTTTGAGGTCATCTTTTGTGGCCATGGAGGCTGTGAGACTGCGCAGCCTCTCTTCAATTCGATCGAGGGCTGTGCTCTCCGTCCCCGACGGGGATGGCGGCGCCATCTTGGGGCCTACTGGTTCCCCGCTTGCGCCGGGTTGTGGGTGTAGGAATCCGTCCAGGGGGCCTTGTTGAGGGATTTTCGGGGTCTGGGGCTGCTCCGGTCGTTTGTTACGGCCCATTTAGCTGTCGGTTGCGTGCCGTTATAGCTGTAGTAGGGTCCGACGGAGCGGAGCTCTCCCTTTACGCGTCCATCTTGGTTCGCGCCGAGACCACGCCCCCGTCAATAAGTGCTTATTTACCACTTACTAAATAACAGCAAGTGTATCGGTATAAGGACTATAATCGCTGAAATATGCTGATACAGAGGTATCTGAACTGAAGGAGGGAGACAGGCGGAAAAGCCCTACTCTGGTCTTGAGCTATGTAGCATTACCGTATTAAAAAAAATAGACAAAAACTGGCCAAATATAAATTGTACAAACTTAAGAAAATGTTACAAAAAGCAATAGGTATATCTAACTGCACCATGGACAACAATGTGTATAGCATATTCAAGTGCCACACAGTTAGTGTGCCAAATTGGCACAAAGGTTTAAGGCACAACCATATTGAAGTGAGATTAAATAAAGAGTATATGTATTCAACAATTAATGTTGCCATGAACAGCAGCTACATCTCCCCATGTTCCAAATGGGAAGCAATTGTAAAATAAATGTAGGGGAAGCTCGATAACCAAGCTGTATCATGCTTTATCCTGTAAACTTTGTTGATGCAGAGTGGTAACCAACTGCTTTCATAACCATAAGATTAATTTTAGTAAATAACTTTAAGCAAGGGAAGGACAAGTTGCTTTCTTCCAAGTAGTCAAAAGGTTCAAAGTAGCTAAGAAAATGGGAGAAACTAATTTTGCAAGCACTTCCAATAGTCTTGGTAATTTAATAACAATAAATAAGTAGTAGGGTTAAATGGGATATACAGAGAAGATGGCAATTTTGATAACTGCTACCAAAGAGGTTGCAGCTTTGCATATTGCCACCAAATATAAATCATTGTGCAGTCTTGAAATTGGCTACCTGTTTGGGGTACATTTTATGTAGTTTGGTAGGGGTTAGATACGATATATATATCAATGTATGATGCACTGCTAAATAATTGTAACATTTGCAAGGCATTAACAGAATAGACCCATTCCTGGGAAGCAATTGGGGTGGCACATTAACATTGTTTCATAAACAAATATTTTTATAAGAATTGTCTAAAATAGTTTTATAACATGCTGGTAAAGGTTTGGGTTTTATCAGTGCATTCAAACACCTGGTAAGTGAAATATGGTTATTAATGTAAGTGCACCTTCCATTAACAAATCAGAGGCATCCTATAAAAGAATCTAAGGAAGCCAAAATGTGTGCAAAAGGCAATTACATTCGCTGAATTTCAAAATGAAAAAATTATAGCCAAAGAGAACAAAACCA